CCTCAGTAGATTCTTGTTCACTTTGTAAATGACTCAAAGTGGTGAGTCAATTGAGTTGCTGTGACAAGTGTGCTGATGAGATGTTTAATTATACCGCTTCTGATTGAACCAGTGTCACCTCTTTGCAACCATGATTGGCAGTGTTCTCTAAGACATTTTGGAAAAGACGTGGGTAGAATGAACTCATATAACTTTGAGAATGCATCAGAGTTACTTATGGAAATTCATCAATAAATTTTCTTTTTCTTCTCTGCTTGTTAGTTTCTTATACGTTTAATGCATTTCATAAAAAAAATGCCTATTTGCTTTATATCTTTGAGTTGTTTTATTGACTGAGATGTTAATTATGCGATTCCTAAGGTGAAAAGTTAACACAATTGGATTGTTCTTATTATTACTTCAGTTTTCTCTTTTCTGATTTCTCTATAGAAAAAGACTTGGCTTGTGAACTGTTTTCATTTCATAGTCACTCAGAGTTTTTTATTTTGTTATACACAGAACAAGAATGAATAAATAAATGACAGAGAGGCTAAACTGAAAAATACAAACATACCAAAAGCTGGCAATTCACTCCTAACTGACAGTACATATATATATATATTCTTCTGCCAATCTTGAAGTCTGTCTCAGATAATCTGGCTATCAGTTAACTAACAAGCTTCTCCTTTCTGCCTCCTATTTCATCATGTGATTAAAATTGGCAAGGTGAAACCTAACTCAACGGCTAGCTTGCTTAGCGATAAACGGAGAGTTATGTAATATCCATTCATATGACATCTGGATATTTATCACCCGTAATGACTGTAGGAAAGTGAAGCGGGTTAAACAAGTGCACCAGCGATCTGATTATCATTATTATTATAATTGTTTCCTTTAATTCCTACAGGAACATAGGACTGCAGCCGTGCGTCTCCATTGCGTTCGGTTCCCTGTTAGAGTCTTCACCTGGCTCCAAGTCTGCGCACACGTTTTCATCTCCTCTTCACATGACCTCCTCCAAGTCACCCTCACCCTTGCACTGACGACCAACTCGCCGCTTCCCTTTCGAATTCCACTCGAGCAATGGCTTGTCTAGTGATGCCACTTGATGGTTTCCTCAGAGTATGGCCAATCCATCTCCATTTCTTCCTGCCTATTTGTTTCACAATCGGTTCTTGGTTGGTTCGCTCATTGCCAGAGATCTCTGTTGCTGATCTTTTCTGGCCGGCCATCTGATCTTGAGTATTGAGCAAAGACAACTGTTAATGAAGGTCTGATTAGTTCTCCTTAAAAAAATAAATAACATTAAAGTCAAATAGCACCGAAGGTTGTTCGTGGTTCAATGGCTCAGTTCCCGGGCGATGTACTGCCTAGTCTACTAACTAGCAGTAGGCTTGGAAAAGAGGGAAGGCTGTGCGTGAGACTACCAACTCCTATGCGTATAAAGGTCTAATGTTGAACCTCTATGTTCTTCTCAAAATGCAAAAGATTGAAAGAAATAAGTGGATCCAGATATATATTATTAGATGGTTGAAGATAATCGTCAGGAAGCCATGAGCCCAGGTTTCGTGCTTGTTGGCACTCACCAGTTAGCAAGGCGTATCTGTAATCATGAACTGATTCATGTTCTTTTCTGAGATTCGAACCTGTATCACCCAGCGGTGTAGTCAGACACGTTACCACTGAGCTGTTCGAGATTACGACTGACCTCCTGTGGAACTGTATTAGATACCTTGATCGATCACTAAGTAGTAAGTAATTAGTGTCGTCCGCCTATACCTTTGTTTGGTGCAGACTGAGTTCTATCAGTCAAGTTTGTAATATGGCCACCATTCTAGGTGGCTAACCATTTAAAAGGTTAACAGTAGTTCCATACTGTTTCTTTTTTGTGAAATAAATATATTTAGAAATGTGAGTATTTAATTTCTTAAGGTTGACAATTTATGGTTTTATAGATTTTCTTTTCTCAGTAGAGATTTTCGACACTCTATTATACACTGAAAAAGCTAATAACACTGATAATTCATATCAGTAAAAAGTTTGAGCATTGTGGATTAGATCAAATAAAGTATAATTATATTTTAATAGTTTACACACAATGATAAGTTTTGTTATTGGTAATATTTCGAGCAAAATTACTGCCCGTGTTCACACCAGTGTTGGAATCAAACAATTCCAACACTGGTGTGAACACGGGCAGTAATTTTGCTCGAAATATTACCAATAACAAAACTTATCATTGTGTGTAAACTATTAAAATATAATTATACTTTAACTGATAATTCAGTTGTCTTAAATTGCTGTGTATGTTGGAATTTTCGTATAGCTTGTTTGTTTGTTATCCACTGATTGCTTGTTGTTTTTCGATCGATAGGACAGAACTGGAACTAATACACTATAGCGTATATGACCTATCGATCACAATCGATTATAGCGTAACTAAGTTTTGGCTGCTTATATATAGAATGAAAAATAAGCAATATATTATGTATGCATATAAGCATATACTGAACTGATATCAGAATGTAGGACAAACTGTTCATCAGTATATATATATATATATATATATATATATATATATATATATAAATTATGTATCGTTCTTTGTAGTTAATAAAATTGTCATTTATATGTATACAAAAACCAGTATAATTTGAATAGAAGTTATTGAACTAACAGGCAAAATAAAAATTGTCGGTCAAATATATATAACGCAGTATTTGATTAGGTAATCAATACAGTCTTACCAATAGAGAGATGCCTGGACTCTGAGTTTCTGTTCTGTCCTGTGTATGTAAATGTAATCAAATTCACTACTCAGAGTTCATTAGTTTGCCTCTAGGGGTAAATAATAACTAGGTTGTGTTTTTTTAATCAAATATTTTACAACTGAATGACTTATATTTTTAATAATACAGAAAAAGTAGACTATATTTATCCTAAAAAACGAATTAGTTCTATAAAATCCCTTATATTATGAATAAATCAATTAGTTGCATATTATCATCGATCGATAAGATAATTAAATAAAGTAAGACAGGGAGTTGTTTACGTCGGCGGCATAGCGGTTAGGACGCTCGCCGACTATGCACATGGTCCGGGGTTCGATTCCCGGCCACAGACGTACTCCTTTACCTCGCTAAGCCAGAAATAATGCTGGTGAAGAGGAAAGGTTGGGCATGAGGCTAGCAACCCCATCCTGTAAAATAAACACTGCTACAGAAACTTCAAGCCACTAGCTTGAAGCCCTATGTTCCACTGGGGAACGTGAAGAAAAAAAAGACAGGGAATTAACTCCAGGTCATTGGATCTCATCCCAGAGGCTGAATGTTCAACAATGGGCTTCCCCTATAATCGGAAGGTCTTGAGCTTTTGTCCTCTGTTGCGTCATGGGTACGTACTGCTGAAGAGGCCCGAACTGTGACGAATCGGCTGTCTAGTACCACCTTGTTTTCAGTGGTGGATGTCTAACTAATGTCATTTAGTAATCTAGCTTAAAAATATTTCAATCTTTGTAAAACACATTCAACTTTAATTGAAATCAACTTTATGCAAACAAAACTTTCATCATCTTATTGGGCACAGAATAAATAAGTACACTCGACTAAACCATTGTTAACTATGAGGTCAACACTTACAAGAATACTCTTTTTTCACACCTGTATAGTGATAGGCATTACCTAATTAGTGGGTTAATTTATGCACGAATAATGAAATTTTATAGCAGGTGGTAACCTCTGGATTAAGAATAATACATATATATATTAATACAGAAATATAGAGATGACTAGCATTGTCTGCCATCGTATCCCGCTTTACTGACTCACAGTATATAAGACATTCTGATAAGCCATTCAAACACACTAATGAACTAAATTTTGAACACTCCTAATCCGTTCTTTTTTGAATAGTTCAGCAACATGCATCAGTAGTTCAGTGCCCGTCAACCACACACGTGACCAGTGTTCGATTCCTATTCGACGCATTAATAAACTTAGTCTAATTTACTAGCTGGTAGTAAGCTCAGAAGAGAGGGATAGTTGACACGAGGCTAACAATTCCATCCTACTGAAATAACATTGCTGTTGCTAAAACACCAAAATATGGAGCTTGAAGCTCCATGCTTTATTTGGAACATAAGGAATTAAAATGACATGCTCAGTTATTAGATAATGTTATAACTGATAATAGGTGACTGTCAAAGTCATCCTAGCAAACTACCCAACGTTCAACTCTGGAAATGTCCAGTTTTCACATGGATCAATGATACATTACTTTAGATGATAGGTTTAGTAGGAATTTGGCTCAATTTGAATGAAGACTAATTTATGAACCAATATCAGTTGGAGATTATTGGAAAACAGGTAGCACTGGACAGCTGTTTCGCCCTAGTTCACGACCTCATTGGGAATCGAACCCGGGACCTTCAAGCGACGAGACCAAACTCGCTGAGCACTCAGCCACTTGGACTATGATTCAGTGATCCGTGAGTTCTAACCTTGTCAGTTCATGATATAACCTCACCATTGACTTCGACTAGTATCCACTTCACCGTGATACGGTAAAAAAGTTAGAATTCATTGAATTGCGGTCCCAGTGGCTGAGTGGTCAGCGAACTTGGTCTTTTAACCTGAAAGCCCGGCGTTCAATCCCTGGTGGATTCGTCGGGTGTGCATTGTTGAAGAGTCCAAACTAGGAAAAAAGTAGCTTTCGCAGTACTCCCTGTCTTTCAGTGACTTCTAACTGATGTTGTTTCATGACTAAATCTACATCCAAAATGATACATTGCTGTCCATTTATCATCACACGCTGGTTAAAAACCTGTCCTCTTCAGACATCATCCACTACATCGATAACAGTCTGTCAACTGGAGAGTATCTCAGTTAATCTCACCGTGCATTAGTAAAATACTATCACTATGTTTGAAAGAGTGTAAATATCTATCAATCTTACTCAAGTGTTTCTCGATGTTTACATGTATTGAATGAATATTTTGCTTTTATTTTCTATTCATATCACAGAAACCTAATGTCAACATCCTGGACTGCTTGAATTTATTTACATCTAAGGAAGAATTGGATGGTAATGAAAGACCGGTAAGTTCATGCTTATTAGTACTAGTGCCATACTACTGATATGTACAGTAATAGCAGTGTTAACATGATTGAGCAGATAATCTAGGGCGACAGATGACACACTTTAAACTGCCTGTAGTATCAAGTTGCTCGCGATATGCTTGTGTGTAGATGATATTATCGATTATTGGTTTGCACAGATTTGATTGGTTACAGGCTTGATCACTAGTTGACATCAGTTAGAGAGAGAACCATTGGAAAACCTAAAAGTACTGGATAGCTGTTCCGTCCTAGTTTGGGACTCTTCAACAATACGCATTCAGGGGGTTCGAACCTAATACCTTCTCTAACTGATATCAACTCATGATCAAACATGTAATAAATCAAATCCCTGCAAAACAACATTTGATCATTAATCTGATGCTCACTAGTGGCTGGTTCTATGCATGAAGGAGTTCTAGTGAGAAGTCGTAACCAGCGGGGTCCATCAAGTCAAGTAAGAGGTCACTTACTCGCCTGGCAGGCTGTTGCGTTATATATCTATCGCGAAATGGCAGAAACTGGAATTCATGGTCGACTGAGTCCGGTCCCAACAGGTGAGTGGGCACTGTTGCTGAAGAGTACCAAACTAGGATGAAAATTCTACCCAGTACTCCCACGTTTTCCAATAGTTTTGTAACTAATGTCAACTTGTGATCAAAACTGCATATGATATTGTCTTAATGGCTTGTCTAGTTATTTAACTTCACATGTCTTCTGATATTTTGATGTGTGTATAACATAAAGAATTGTAAACTGCAATAATGAAGTATAATCATCGAAATAAGGTATTTTGAACTTGTAGAAGGTACTACTGTCTAATACAACAATACAGCAGAATATATAAATGTGATTTCAGAGTTATTAATCTGTAATACTACTACTACTTCTACTGAAATCAAGGTTATTTAAGTAGAATCCAAAATATGTCAGTAGAAGATGAAATAAATATAACAGCATTTCAGAAAATATCAGAGGATCCTAACTATAGAATGAAATAAATATTCCGCTTCAACTGCAATGGGTATTAACACACAGTGAGGGAGGGAAACTAAATGAGTACACTTTCGAGTAATCTTCGCCAGTCATGTAAATAACTGTCATAACTTCAAGTTTGATCACAAAGTGATTTCAGTTAGAGAACCATTGTAAAACTCAGAGTACTGGACAGCTGTTTCGTCTTAGTTCGGGACTCTTCATCGCCCACTGGGGCTCGAACCCAAGACATTCTGGTTGCAAGGCGAGCTAGCTCGTAGACCATTAAGCCACTGGGACCCGATCCAATGGCCCATGAATTCTAACTTCTGCCAATTCACGACATAGCGCGACCCCTAGACAATGTCTTCGGCGAGTTTTTGTCTTCACACCCGACCTGCTGCACCCTACTGGTCACGACTTCTCACTAGAACCTCCCATACCTACCTGAATAGGGCAAGTCGCTAGTGAGCATCTCATCGATATTTAAGTGTTGGTTTGTAGGGATTTGATTGGTTACAGGATTTCATCATGAGCTGACATTTGTTTGAGACCATCCATCAGTACACACCATGGCTGCAACAGGAATTGAACCCAGGACCTGCAGTTTACATGTCGAATTCAGTGATGATCTTATCATTTGGATGCAATTCAATAGCCCATCAGTTCTAACCTCCTGCCAATTCGTAACTTATAGCGCGATCGTCTATCAGTTCGAATTTCAGTGCCGAGCGTACTGTTGAAGAGTCCCAAACAAAGAGGAAACAGCTGCCGATTACTCTTTGGTTTTCAATGTTTCTCTAACTGAAGTTAGTTTCGTCATATGACTTGAAACTAGTCATATCTCTGAAAAGTCAACACCTGAAAGTCAACTAAACCTCGTGATAAATAATATAAATTCACACTGTGGCTACTGATGTGTGTACATGAGTCCATGTGTTTTGTCAACTCAGCTGAACAGTTAACAACATTCTTGAGTTATATATATGCTCGCTCATCAAATCATCTGATAACACGTCTTATAAAACGTCAAAAACCGATTTATTTTATTAGCTTATAAATGTATTGTGTACAGCTAGCGACAGCAGTATCAGCAAGCTTACTTCAAAGTGAAGTGAGAATCACGTGTGGGTGTGTGTGTTTGTATGTTGTATGTGTACTTCATGACTATAGGATATGAAATCATTCTACTTAAGTATCATTTATATATTATGTCATATGATAATGATGATTGCATCAACAATCATGTGAATAATCATTGTTATAAAATAAGCTAAAGTGTATGGTATTATACTATAACGTTTAAGGATTACATTAATTATTTATGCATATATATGTATGCTGGTGCTGCTGCTAAGTATGAGTGACAATGAATGAATGAATGAATCGTGCGTGATTCCATAGAGTTAGTTAACTTTGAACTATCAGCAGACTATTGTCTATTGTTCAACAACGAACTAACTGACTAACAAAAGTACCAACGATACAAAGAGATGAAAACAACAACAAAAAACACAACACAGTTGGATATACTGTTGTTTCTCTCTGTTTTCAGTTAGCAGTGTGTAAACAGTACATACATAAAAAAAATAAATAAATTTAGAACATGTGGCTTTTATTTAGGCAGTATTACGTGCATCAAAACAATGTTTCACATGTAGAATAAAATTTTGAAAAAAGGTAGGAACATTACAAACAAAAACAATAAAATAAACATTAATCTTTTCATAGATAAACGGGATAACAAAAAGAAAGTGAGGCGGAGAATCTTCGACCGACCTTAAACACACTTCTTATAAAAGTGTCATGACATAATTGACTGAATAAGTTTGTACAAATGTAAAGCAGTTCAATGTGCCACACTCCATGAAGCACACACAGATAGAGAAAAGAAAGAACGGGGAGATTCTAAGAAATTGTAATTTTCCGGAGATAGAATGGTAACGTGTGAAAATATGAGATTCTAGTGGATATGTTTTGTTTTATTCCTTTACTTTCCCAGTGGAACATAAGGCTTCAAGCTAGAGGCTTAAAGTCTCGGTAGCAGTGGTATTTACCGGTCTTATTACTGGCTTAGCGAAGTAAAGGAGTGCGTCGGTGGTCGGGGATCGAACCCCGAACCACCTGCATGGTTGACAAGCATCCTACCACTGTGCCACCGACGCACAGTTATGGATATGTAGTGGATAGTAAATGCATCTGCGCCATCCATTAAGTTCTTAGCGTCCCGAGGACCATATCTAGACTGTCTACATCTCCCAAAACAACAGTCAAAGACTTCACGGATTGATGTCAGGTTTCGGGTTGATCACCTTTTACCCTTTTCCAACCCAATTCTTTACCAGCTAACATTGCTCGACGAAGTAGACATTGGCTAGTAGTGTATACTTCACATGTCCTAACCGTCTCAATTGATATGACTTCACAACCTCACACTGTATATAGAAAACAATGAAGGATAGCAGCATAAAGCTTGTGTAATTGTGATTTCATTTCATAGAAATTTAAAATCTTATTGCTTTATACCCAGTAAATATGGAGGAAGATTATTTGTAGCTGTCAGTGAAATTCACATTAAGTTTTCCAGTCAATGAATTGTTTTTCCCATCATAGAAAATACTAGTTATCATGTAGTATACTTTACTAGAATATTGACTGCAACCCCTTACTATACACTTCCAACTTTTGACCAGTGAGAACGTTAACTTCCTTTCGTTTGAAAGGAGGCATTACTTGTCATTGGCGAAATTTTACTATCAAATGCTATTGAAGTGTACTGTTGGATTAAGGTTTACCGAACTAATTTACTATCTAGGAGTTTACTACATGATGTTGCGTATTACTTGATAATTATCAAACAATAGATTTCATCTATTTGTTTTCCTTCACGTTCCCCAGTGGAACACAGGGCTTCAACCTAGTGGCTTGAAGTTTCTGTAGCAGTGTTTATTTTTTATAGGATGGGGTTGCTAGCCTCATGCCCAACCTTCCCTCTTCACCAGCATTATTTCTGGCTTAGCGAGGTAAAGGAGTGCGTCGGTGGTCGGGGATCGAACTCCGGACCATGTGCATGGTCGGGGAGCGTCCTAATCGCTATGCCACCGACGCACTAGATTTCATCTATAGTATTGTTTAAGTAGAGTTAGGAATGGTTTGCCTATTTGGCTATGGAGTCCAGATCACTTATGATGGTGAAATCGCTTTTGAAGGATCTATACCGCTTCCTGATAACATATATTAGGGGATAAACTAGTACCTTGAGTTTTTATTACACAAAATACATTCCTTTTTCAAACTCTGTAGGATTTGTAGGGATTTTGAATTAATTTTAATTGTTAGATGTTATTCATTGGCCAACAATAATTTGGAAAGATCATTCGAAACCAGGGAGTACTATACGGTTACTGGATGGGTTCCCTGAAGCTGTTGTAGGAAGTTGTGACCAGTAGAGTCCACCAGGTGAAGGTGAAGTGAATTCTCATTTGAAGGTATTGGTGAGGCCAGCAGCGCTACATCATGAATTGACAAAGTTAGAATTCCAACCAAAGTGGCTGGGAATGGTAAACGAGCTTAATCTTGTGACCTAAAGACCTTGAGTTCGATCCCTATCGGGGCTGTGGGTACGCATTGCTGAAGAGTCCTGACCTCGGGCGAAACAACTGTCAAGTATTCCCCCTGTTTCAGGAATCTCTTTAAGTGATGTTGCTTCTTGACTAAAAACTAACATTCCTTGTTACTAAATATTCCATCTTTCAGGATATCATTTTTTATAGACATGTTCTTAGCTTTGTTAAATGAAATATCTTATGCAAATTAAAGAGCTTGTTGTTGAACTGAAATTTGTTAGTTGGAATTAATTATCACATAGACGTTTTGTATTTCAATGGGTTGTTTTCATTATCGCATAATTATTTTCAACATTTGTATTATACCAATTTGTTTATACCGATTTGGGCTATTGACCATGTATGCATGCATGGATGCATGCATGCATTACTTTATGCAGGTGTTTGTTTGTTTTGAATGGATTTACAAACCATAGAAGATAAAGCTCTTGCATAGACCGCTTCTCAATGAAACAGTCAGATGTGTATTCGATTTGGAAGTTAACTAATCGTTTCTATGGGTGATTGGGTGTGTGAGAGTGATAATTATTCTGAAAAAGCGGGGTACGGTATACTTTTTTTGTAGAAATAACAGTGAAAGCAGTCAACAGCCTACAGTCGAGTGGTGGTCAGTCGTCTTCTGAATAGCACAGTGGTAACATTGATATAAGAATAGAACTTGTGCACTGTGGTAGAGTATAATTCCATTGTGGATAAAATTTATTTTGATAAAGTTTCACAGTGTTATACAGTAGTAATATTTACTGATAACGTTTCGAACACAATTTATTACCGCTCATAATCATATCAAGGCAGTACTAACACAACTTTCTAACTTCGTTTATTTAATTTCATTATTTTTCATCTCTTGACTTAATTGGTAGTGGTATTTTCCATATTTCGGCATGAGTGATGAGTCATTCCTATTGCATGTGTTGAGTGTAGACTCGATGAACAAGCATTCGAGTTATATAAACGAAGTTAGAAAATTGTGGGGGTAACTTGATATGATTGTGAGCAATAAGTTGTGCTCGAAACTTCCAGTAAATATTACTGTATAACACTGTGAGACTTTATCAAAATAAATTATGTCTATGATAAAACAGTGGTAACATCTCTGACTGTAGCACTGGATGAAGTGGGTTCACATTTCCAGTAGGGAACCATTTCCTTTGTATTTTCAGTTACTCTTTGCTAGCGACTGCCATTTAACATGAAACATAGGTCCAGAACTGCCTTTCTGTGTTTTGTTGAAAACAACTTACATCTTTTGATAGTTATATGTATTGATCACTTCATCCTTATTTGAAGAGTTGCATTAGCCCTGATGAATTGATTGATGACAAAATCTCAGGGTGGATACAAATTGAATTATCTTTAGGATCAGTGAAACATCTGGTTATCCATTGAAGGGGTGTATGGATTTCATCATGAGCTGACATCAGTTAGACAGCCATTGGAAAGCCTGTTAGTGCTGGACAACCATCGGTTTCGTCCTAACCTGGGACTCTTCATCAGAACTTACCCAACGGGATTCGAACTCAGAACCTTCTGGCTACAAGACGAACGAGCTCGTAGACCATTAAGCCACTAGGACCTGATCCACATCTTACTTTATACTTCCAAGATATGTCTGCTGAAAGTAAATATGTTAGAATTACAGGTTTATTATCTCACACTGCATTAGGATGGGCACCACTGTAAACAATAATTAAATTTGGCGTAGAGTATTAGTTATGCAATGTAAGTCAGCTGATGAGATTGTGAGTTTTTTGTCGATTGAGGTGTAGCGCATGGTGACGAACGTTGACTAGTAGTGTTAACTGAAAGAATTTTCAGATAGCACAGTTAGGGATATTCAGATCGGAACAGACCAACCAGTTCATGAATCTAAATCACGTAGAGAGAGAGGTTTAAATGGGTTGATTGGGTGCTTTGTGACTCTAGGAACTTACTGTTTGAAAGACTCTTTATTATTAATTGTCTCTAAATTAACTACACTAGTTCATCAGATAGGTGATTATCCACTCTTTATGATCCTACAATTTCCTATGAATCTTATTTCTTGCCATCATACCCATATTAATCCAGTTTATTATTTTTATTAGTGGATTTCATTTGTTTTGTTTTTCGAAGTGTGGGGTAGGTTGAAACTGGTGAAACACACTTGTGTGCACATTCTGTCAGTCAATCAGTGTATTATAATATAATAAAATTTGTTTTGTCTAGGTAGTTATGCTTATTTTTCTCTCTCCTATTTCATTTCATTGTTCATTTCTTAAAATAACATTTTTTTCCCTATTGATTTTTATTTTGTATTTTATCATTTCACAGATCTGCAGTCGATGCAAAACACGTAGAAGATGTACAAAAAGTTTTTCTATTCAAAAATTCCCACAAATTCTTGTACTTCGTATCCTTTTTGTTTAGTCAAGAAAAAAATGCATTTTCTGTTACATGTGTTTGCACGTATACATATACTACTACTGTTACACATATAACAGTAGTATGTTGCGTCTAGTCCATCAGTAGTACTTCGATCACTTTTTTTCACTATAAGTATGTTTACTGTAAAAGGAGAATTTAAGTGCGTTGGTGGCATAGCAGTCAGGACGCTCGCCGACCATGCACATGGTCCGGGGTTCGATCCTCGGCCACCGACGCACTCCTTTACCTCGCTAAGCCAGAAATAATGCTGGTGAAGAGGAAAGGTTGGGCATGAGGCTAGCAACCCCATCCTGTAAAATAAACACCACTGCTACAGAAACTTCAAGTTGGAGGCTTGAAGCCCTATGTTCCACTGGGGAATGTGAAGGAAAAAACAGAGGAGAATTTAGACACTGGTAGAATATAATTCTATATATTAGATAATTTTCTATGATGTGTAACATACAGTGAGACACAACAGTAGTATTGAGTCGATAACGTTTTGAGCACAGTATATATATATATATATATATATTTCAAACACACACCCTTGTTTTCCATTGCAATTTCCCATTCATCCGGTATAGGCGTTGCGCCATTTCTATTCCACTTGTTTGGCTTTGATTTGATGATTAACCTGTGTCAACACCCGACTATATATACCTTTTAATAATTTCACCTTATTCCACCCTATTGTGTAATTAATTACATGCAAGCGAATACATTATAACGGCTGAGTTATTTATCTTAACAGGGTCAATCATTCTACCGACCTCTAGCTAAAATTCCAATGTCCCGAAATTTAATTGACTCTGATCTATCTGTTTGACCTATGTAGTTGACCTCATAGACATTACATGGTATTTGGTGTGTGTGTGTGTGTGTGTTTTATCGAAGAAACTTACAGAATTGTCAAGTAAATGACTAATCTATAGTGTATCAATCGAAGGAATATATTCTGTCTGCAGAATCATTCTCTGAACCCTGACGTATTTGTCTCTTCCAAACAGATCGATAGGTATGTTGAAAAGCATACAAAAGAGCGTAAATATGGAGTTAAAACAAAGTATAATTGAGTAGCTCAATAATTTAAACAGTCCGCCATAAGTCAGTATTATTATTTATTATTATTATTTGGGGTTAACAATGATAAAATACTTATTCGCTTGGGTTCTGAATTGAATATACATGGCTTCAACAGCGCATCCCCGTTTTTTTCCTATTCTCTGTGGTCCCTTTTAGCTGACACACCATGACTACCCATGGTCTCTCATTTCCTCCTCATACACGATGTCTTCTATGTCATCTTCAGATCCAAGCCCGACTTGTCATTTCCCTTTCGGGTTCCAGTCAAGTGATGGTCTGGCGTGTGATGTCATTCGACGATCTCCTCAGCGTGTGTCCGATCCATCTCCATTTTCTTCAGTATGTTTGTTGAGCAATAGATTCTTGATTGGTTCGTTCCCAGAATTTCTTCTGAATGCTGTTATTTAGAAAATTTGTTTTACATGCCAAAAATTATATAATCATAGTCATTATTAACAATAATTAATTGATGAATTAATTAATGCAGTTAACCTGGGGTTCTAGTGAGAAGCCGTGATCAGTAGGGTATGGCAGGTTGAAGGTGAGATAGTAACTCATCGAAGAAGACATTGCGAAGTGGTTGCATCGTGTCGTGAATTGGCAGAAGTTAGAATTCATGGGCTGGCTATTGGATCGAGTCCCAGTGGCCTAATGGTCTATGAGCTAGCTCGCCTTGTAACCAGAAGGCGGACCTTGATGGATGCATACTGCTGAAGAGTCCCAACCTATGACGGAATAGCTGGCTGTTCAGTACTCCCTGCAGGTTTTCCAATGGTTCTCTAACAGATGTCAGTCAGCTGATGATGAAACCCTCCAACCAATCAAACAGAATCCCTACAAAATCAATACTTGATAATTAATAATAGTTAAAGTAAATTTCAGAGAAACAAGTTACAATACAGGTTTGAATATCCCTTGAAAACTACTTACACTTTGATAAACCGCCTCTTTTTTGAGCCTGGCACACTAAAAAGCTTGCATCACACTGTACACAATCATGAATTTACAGTTGAAAACCATTTAATAAACAATATCTGTAGTCTGCTTAACATTTTTAATCTCTTGATGAATAGTTTTCATTCGCAGCGTTTGTATGAATACAATACATTAAGGTTAGCTTGAACATTTAGACTTCATATGTGGTATATAGAGGATGATAGTGTATTAGGCTATAGCCCCTTGGTTATCTATTTTTATAATAAAGTCTTTTCACTGTTATGTGTTACTGTGAAGACGTTGGTAAAGAAATTAACAGAACCAATGACATTCATCATTTTTCTTTTTAAGTTATGCAGAGAATTGTTGTTTTAATCTCTCTTGCCTAACATTTACATCGTGTGTAAATCTCTATGATACTTGTGGCATATACATATAGGCACCTCTTGTATATATAAACGTATATATCTATTTCTTTGGTGAAAACTTCTACATGATATACAATTTCATATATATGCTACTATTCTATCTACCTCATAAATTTATTATTTACATTTGCGGGGGAGGAGGGGGAATATGTAATAAGTGGCATTTTGTAAAACATGTAAATAGGCCGTAAGAATGTTAATTATGTGTGGAGGAAATTGGTGTCTAGCTGGCTACATGACGTAAATGATGACAGATAGTTGGAGTATCAGACAGGCAGATAACTTATTAGCCTAAGAGTTCCACGATGATATGTGATGATAAGCAACACAATAATAATAATAATAATAATAATAATAATAATAATAATGTAACATAATTTACTAAAGTGTAAAATATTCTCTACACTTTATGAGTAGTAAATTATTATAGTATTATTATTGTTCCCTTGGGTTCTTAGCGGAACATAGGGCTTCAACTACACGTCTCCCCTCGCTTCTGTCTTCTGCTGTACTTTTCACCTGCGTCCATGTTAGTCCATACTGTTTCAATTCCTCTTCACACGATCTCCTCCATGTTACCCGTGGACGTCCCACTCGCCACTTCCCTTTCGGGTTCCACTTGAGGGCCTGATGCGCGATGTCACCCAACGGCCTCCTCAGCGAGTGTCCAGTCCATCTCCACTTTCTCCTGCATATTTGTTGAGCGATTGGTTCTTGTTTTGTTTGTTCCCATAGTTTCTTGTTGGTGATTCTTTCCGGCCATCTGATCTTCAGTGTATGGTGAAGACAGTTGTTGATAAAGGTCTGCAACAGGCTGTTGGAAATATTCTTTATGACCCGCCAAGTTTCTGAACTTACTTGATGTTTGTATTGAAAATCCGAATTTTGTTGTTGAGTGCTGCTGAGTGACGAAGATTTCCAGATTGGTTTCAGGTTGATGAATGTGTTTCTCGCCTTCCCGATTCTAGATTTGACATCCTCGTCCGTTCCTCCTGTAGTTGAGACAATGCTTCCTAGATAAGTGAATGAAGTGACATCTTTCAAATACCTCCCGTTGATGGTGATTGGCGCTGGATGTTGCTGCTGCTGTTGTTGTTGTTGTTGTTAGTTGGTTATTTTCATAACCTCCGTCTTGTCTATGTTCACCTGGAGTCCTGTCTTTGCTGCTTCTTCGACCAGTTGTCGGTTTTCGCTTGTAAGTCTTTGATTTTGTGTGACATCAAACATAAATCATCCACACGGGAAATCCAGTTCTTCTATGTTCTTCACGTTGGTTCAGGATATCCCTGTCTTCTCGTTTCCCACTGTCTGACGCACAATCCAGTCCACCACAATTAGGAATATCATTGGTGATAATAAGCACCCTTGTCTGACTCCTGTGTTTGCTCCAAACGCCTCGCTGAGTTTTCTGTAGTGGATCACTTGACATGTGCCGTTGTCGTACAGCTGTTGAATAAGGTTGATGAATATTTGGGGTACGCCGTAGTACTCGAGTAGTTTCCAAATTATGAGTAATAAATGATGTTTGTATATAACTGGTTTGTGTTTCGAGAGGAAGGACAATATTTCACTGAGTTTTTCACTAAGTAAACAAATGGGTTTCTTTAATGCTAGACAGTTTGTTAACAATTTATTGGTTACCAGTGTACTTTCATTTACGAATTTATATCGTTTAAGAGGTCACTGAAAACCAATTGGGACTTTGATTTGCACATGATATGGTCCAGGAATTCAGTGGTCTGAATCCTGCCAAACTACAGTATGTACCAACTACCATTCGATTTTATTGGTGAAAAGCTATCCTTTCATCTGATTTCACTGACACTCAGTCAGTTGGTTCGTGAACTATACTAAATACTCTGAAAGCCAAATGTGCAGTCAACATTTATGCATGGTTAAACTCATTCTGTTTGTTCGTATCATGAAAACACAAGTACTAAGAATGACCATCGACGAATGAAAACAAACTGGATTCATCTGTAACTATTTTAATTCAAAATTTAATCGTTTATTGATTTCACATTGGATATAGGCATCTGAAGTAAGGCATAAAACTAATCAACCACCAATTATCTCCCTTTTTTGTTATTCCTTTACGTTCCCAGTGGAGCGTAGGGTGGTTTCAAGCTAGAGCTTTGAAGTTTCGGTAGCAGTGGTGTTTACTTTTACAGGATGGGGTTGTTAGCCCCATGCCCAACCTTTCCTCTTTACTAGTCTTATTTACTGGATTAGCGAAGTAAAGGAGTGCGTCGGTAGTCGGGGATCGAACCCCGGATCACCTGAGGCGTGGTTCGCGAGTATTCTACCACTGTGCTACCGATGCACTAATAATCTCCTATACTCTATAATAACATAAAGTGCTTGTAACTTCTTCTGCTGATTATTTCACTGGATCTCATCGAAACATCTTCATTGACATATGCTGTCCTGAAACAGATGTTTTCGTTGGACCCTGAAATTATGAGTGAAAATATCGAATTTCACTCTTTCAGGCTTTCACTGCTATTTGCTGCTGGATACTGTTCAGTAAGCTATTTAAGAAATGAAGCAGTTTAATTGGATGGTTTTCAATTTCTTTATTATCCTAATTAGAAAACTTATAATCTCCAACACTGTTGAGATTAAAGATTATCGGCTGTACGGATTTTTGTAGCTTCTTAATCTGACCACCCATACACTTCTAAATTAATTTTCCTTCTTCTGTCATCACAGTTTCAAAACTGATGATAGCGTTGTAGTACTGAGTGCCCAACTGTAATATTGATTGGTCATTGGGGGAGTGTACCGAGTGTTATTTGTTGCGTACCTAATCTTGCTTGTGGTCAGTAACACAGAACTCTCACCATCGATGTGAACTTTGTGAATTAATATTTAGATGGTTGAAGGCAATCCGGCAGGAAGCATAAGACATAGGAGGTGTTAGTCGGGGATCCGAATATCTCAGTGGTCATATCTCTAACTGCAGCACTGTGTGATGAGAATGCAAATACTTCTCTTTTCAGGGTTGCAGATAAGTCTCTCAACACAAATCTAGGTCCACGACTTCCTTCTGAATGCCTATCCAAAAGGAAGTCATTTCTTTCACTTACCTGGTCAGCATTGTATCAACTACAGACGACAAAGATGAGGATGTCAGAACCAACCAGGATTGGGAAGACAAGACAGGTATTCAGCACACTGAAATGAGTGTGGTGGTCGTCAGTATTTGACACAAGAAACACTGATACCAGGTCAATGTTTCTGTATGATTTACAGACTTAGCGCATGAGTCACCGAAATCATGTCCAGTCGGCTATAAACTTCCATCAATAGATGGCCGGCTGGAAAGAATAAGCAACAGGGAACTCTTGCAGTGTAGCAAAACAGCCAAGAACAATACTGTCCAACAAATATGCAGGAAGGAATAGACATTGATTGGATATACACTGAGGAAACCGTTGACTAATATCACACAGCAAGCAGGCCCTTCAGTAGAACTCGAATAGGAACCGATGAGCTGAGTCTGGGTCTGAGGTTGACATGGAGGAGAACATGAAAGAAAAGAGATGAAAGTTTGTAGGCAGTTGTGGAATCAGCTAAAAAGGACTACAGAGAGGAGCGTTAAATTGAGATATTTGATAATTTATCGACAGTTCTACTGTTGTCTTGGGGGATTTAATATATTGTTGATGTAAGATGATTGAAGGCAATCGGCAGGAAGCCTTGCTTGACCTAGGTTTCGTGCTAGTTGGCACTCATCAGTCAGTAAGGCATATCTGCAACCTTGAAGGAACTCATTTCCCTTCTGAAATTCGAAGCCGCGTCACCCAGTGCTACGGTGAGGTATGTTACCACTGGGCATTTCAGGCTTGCGATTGACCTTCTGTAGGACTGTAGTGGATACTTTGATTGGACACTAGTAACCAGTGTAATGTAACTAGTCCTATATTTGGTGCAAAGCGCACTGTGATGGCAAGCTACCTAGAATGGTGTCCACATTGTAAACCTGACTGATAGAATTCAGTCTCAACCAAGGATAGGACTCGAAATCCCAATGAAGGGATTTTATTTATTCCACTTTATTTACCCGTGCAACTTTAGGTATGTATGAAGTGTATCCGTATAGGGCGATAGAAGGAAACTGCTATGCGAAAATTGCCTATAACCCCATTTACTAAACACTGAAGAGTACTCAGTCTAAACCAGATGTATTGTGTTAAAATAAATTCATCGAATGACAAATTCAATTTCTCAAAAAATTTAATCAATATTATTCAACTTTGAAATGTACTATTTACCAATATAAACTATCGTATAAATAAACTGATATCAGCCATAGAGACAACATATCCCCCGGTGTATTTTATGTTCTTTCCTCGCGCTTTTCCTTAACCACTTTGGTATTAATAACGAACGATTAGATTTAAAGCGTTTCTCTGGAGAACGTTTTCGCTCGAAAATGTCAGTCATGGTGGATTATCCATTGAAAAACTTAGATTTAATTGGATTCGCTACTCCAAGTTGTAAGTGTTTTTTTCTTTTCCTATTTATTTATTCTATTTTTTAAATTTTATTTTGAGTTTGATTCTCTATTTTTAAAATAAATTAACTTTCAATTTAACTAGTTCATTATAATCATATAAGTCTATTGATTGTTTTTCTGTTGGAGTATTTGTTAATCGGTTACAGAGAGAAACAGTTATTAGTGTGGATTTTTGAAACTCAAATATAGATACAATTTGTGGCTGGTGACTAGCAGTGGATGCGCAGGATGCGCATTTCGTCCTATTTGGGACTCGTCATCTGGATGTACCTGCATTTCTCAGTGAGTGATGATGTCCCCACCGAGGCTCGAACCCAGTGCCCATAGTTTCAAACGCCAAAGCATTATCCACTAGACCACTTGGGCCACGAGAGCCACCTCTTGTGCAACGGCTCATATTAATTTAATTTAATTTGAGATTTTCCCGTCGATTGATTGGACCGAAGTGCTCCATCTCAGGTTGACATGTCGGCTTCTTGTGCAGATACTTCGACGATGTCTGGGCATTTAATTAGCTTGCAATTTGTAGATGGTGACTAGCAGTGGAATCAATCTGAGACCGAGCACTTTGGTCCAATCAGTCGACGGGAAAATCTAAAATTCAATTAAATCAAATATAGATTGCCTTAAAGACCAGCATGCCTAGAATTCTTGACGTTGTCTTGTCTTTTATAGAATTCTACTTGTAAATCCTCAGTGGTAGGGATCTAATCAAACAGCTTCTCAGTAGGCTTCATGAATGTCTATCTCTTAAACCATGCTTGCATTTAGTAGTTGCACCAATAGTCTCTCTACCTCTATTTATTCTGTAGGTCATTTGATTATGATCTGTAGTAATTGGAGTGAATATCGCCTGATAGAACATCGAATTTGCTCATAATCCCGAACGTTACTGGTTTGAATTCAGTTGCGATGTCGGTATTTGTTTCTGCTTCGATTCTCACCGGATTATGAAGATATAGCTCATCGGCTTAGCACTTGACCTTCAACTGGATAGTGTCATTAGTATCATAACTTAAAGCTGCGTACATGGAAAATATGATCCTAGTAACTTAGTTCTGTCTAAATAACCAACCAACTGTCACTGAATTATATCAATATTACATTTCTTAAACTAAAGGTATCTCAGATTAGTTGGAGGATTTCATCATGAGATGACATCAGTTAGAGAACCTTTGGAAAACCTGGGAGTTCTGGACAACCAGCTGTTTCGTCCTAGTTTGGGGCTCTCCATCAGTACGCACGTTTACCGCGGGGTTCTAACCCAGGACCTTAAAGTAGGTAGTTACCTGAGGTTCTGTTGGGAAGCCGTGACCAGTAGGGTGCAGCAGGTCGAAGGTGAGGACAGTTACTCATCGAAGAAGACATTGCTAAGTGGTCGTGCTATGTTGTGAATCGGCAGATGTCAGAATTCACGGGCCATGGGATCGTATCCCAGTGACTTAATGGTCTACGAGCTCACACCTTGTAACCAGAAGGTCCTGGGTTCGACCAGTGGCGGTGGGTGCGTACTGCCGAAGAATACCATTTGTTTTCTATGTAGTATTCACTGCTTTCTAGGTTAAACAGGGAAATTTATTGAGATATTTGGTGGAATAGTTTAATATTTTTATAATAATGAAAAATTTCAAGAAAGCTACTCTTCTTGGTTGATTGTAAAAGCTTATACTTGCTGGAAATCATTATCATTACCTTCAGAGTTAGAAAGAGGATAATCAGCTTGGTATTTGTTGTTTACTTTATTGAGTGCAACTGTAGGTCTCAATTAGATTGTTATTCTTATCTGTACGTCTGTCCATCTCTGAATAGATCTTGGAGAATCACTTAAAGAGGTGTGCATTATGCATTTTCTGGTACAATATTAATATTCGCCATTAAGTTTAACAAAAGCTTATCTTAGAATGTGTGGGAAGAAACTTAGCAGCTGAATTTTTTGTATATGTTACCTGATCGCCTTTGCGAACAGCTCCTAACCGATCATTAATGACTTTAGTGAACCCTTTAGGCCTCAATTTTTTCCACATAGTGAAAATTGTTATTATTATTACATTACTCATTCCTTTGTGTTCTGTTGGGAAAATAAGTCTTCAAGCGTTTGGATTTTCAGTAACAGTGGTGTTCCCTTTACGGAGTAAGGTAGCTAACTCAACGTCTAACCTTCCCTCTTTTTCCCGACTTACTATCGACTAGTAAACTAGGCGAGGCTTCAGAATTCTCGTGAATGGTATTCGTTACTTGCAAAAGTATATTTGAATGAAGGTGAGATGAGCAGAGGCAGTTAAGATATTACGATTCACAGATATGATCATGACTGATAGAAATCTTTCAAATAGATGTGTATCAGTCAGTTGTGTACCGGTTAGATAACTGGAACAATAAATCTAATACTTATTTTTCCACCAATCATTTAATTTTGTCAGCTGCCAGCTGATGTGTGTGTTCTAATTCGAAGACTTCAGGCCTTCTCTGTCATTCAATAGCATTTTATTACACCTCTACATCATGTTACTCATTATATGGAAGGGATTCTGCTTCATGGTTGTGTAACTATGACTCTCAAAGGTTGCCAAATGCAGCTTCGCATCCGCTTGTTGGTTGGTGAAGACAGCGGGATGATTTATCCGATAATGTAAACACACCCGCCAAATAAACCTGCACTGCAGTGTGGAGGGCGTTTGACTTCCGTATTAGTTACTCTGACAGATACCTCCAAGTAGTACTCGCCGAGGAGAGCACATTCCGTGTCCTTGGTAAAATTCTGTCAGGGCCAGAGTGAACTATTTCCTGCACTTTTTGGGATCGCCATACGTGACGTTGCTCTTGTTGTGCTATCCTCGGGGTGTTTTGGCATCTTGGGGAGTATGATTGCGGCTTTCACTGCACTTGGTAACTTGATTGTAAAAACTGAGCAGGAAGGTTGTTGGTGAGAGTCTCGTATCCCTAAGTTAACAATTTGATGGGCAGCTTGATTCAAACCTTCAGACAACCTATGAGGGGATTATGACCGAGACTAACTCGCTGGGGGATTGTGGCCCTTAAAGCCTCACCATACCGCTATCGGTGGTGGATCTGTGGCCGGTCGCGTGTCTTTAAAACTGTCCACCGAGGTCATATAGCGCCGGTTGGTAGGGCGACCTCCAGTTGCTCGGACGCGAAAGCGTCAGAGTCCTTCCCATGATTGAAGTGGGAACAAAGCAGCTGTAGGAGTAACCGCCCGTGGTTCGGAGACCCTGTCTCTGAATACCAGATAGTCATTTGTGTACACTGTCCCAAGGGGGAGTATATGATCATTGTCTCTGTCCAGGAAGCACTTTTGGGCTGCTAATGGTTCGGGATGTGGAATGGCCTCATAGGTTGATGTGATTGTGGAAGATGCCACCCAGCTTTGTTCTACGTCCCTTGTGGAATTGTCCTACCCATGCTTGTCTTTATCAGTGAAGGGGAGCCACCGGAGGAGGTGCCCTTATCGGCTAGATATATACAGAATTGTCCCTGATTCAAGGATAGTTGTTATGATCGTGTAACATCATATTGTGAGGGTGGTCATGACCCGCTGAGATGGGGCAGTAATGTACCGTTTGATAAACGTTCATGGTTTTGTTGAGACCGAACAGTGGGGGGGGGGGGTAATATCAACCTCTGCTGGGCGTTGACAGAGTGCCTGATATGGGGTGCTCGGTTTTATGCATGAACGTGGCTATGATGTTGTTTTCTCAACAAGGAATATAGTGAAAACCGGCAAGTATAGTACCGCAATCTTCTGATCAAGAACTTATTTGAAAATTAACGTAAAATTCTTTGTAGTAAATACTTACCCTTCCTCCTGTGTAAGTTGTTGATTGACAGGTATTCAGTAATGATTAAAACCTTCTGAAATGAATCTATTCTGAATAGTGGAGTCATTCATTTTTAGTTTTTTCATTTCAAGTGGAACACAGGTCTTCAAGCTTGAGTTTTGAAATTTCAGTAGCTGTGATGGTGTTGTTTTTGCAGGTTGAGGTTGCCAGCCTCATGTCCAACCTTCCCTCTTCATCCGGATAACTGCAGCCTAGGCCGAGGCTTAGGAGTGCATCGGCCTGAAATCGAACATGATTGGCGAGGAATTCTACCATTGGACCACGTACACACACCCATTCAGTTAGCTTACTTAAATTGTGCTATGTAATATATACATATGCACATATATCGATTGTATGGATGATCTATATTCCTTTCAAAAATGCATGTCTTGTATAATCTGTACAGCGCTACCTTTGAAAAGTTCAACTAATATATATCCCGCTTAGATTGTTTATCAATATCAGTAATTCTAATGCTTTAGTTTTACTGATTGACAGATCTATTCTCCTCTTGTGCATTATTATTATTTATTATTAGGCTCATTTGTGTGTATTTATAGGTTTTTGGCGCAAGTTTTAGTTCTTTTCATCACTGATTATATTCTAATTACCAGTGTACTAATTTAAAGATATTTTACTATACACTGTAATCAATATTTATTTTAGAAAGGCTTCTTCTTTTTTCAGTCACCATTTGTATTTTAGTTGTGTGTTTTTTTTTCAATTTTAGTGTTTTATAGTTTTCAAAGGAATGGATGCTGAACAAAGAGTACTTTTTTCGATAACTTCATCATCAGGCTCTAAAATTATATATACATTAAAGTGAATGATTGAATTAGTGTTATGAAGAACATTAATGCTGTTTAAATAACATCGAATCAATAATATTGATAGATTACAGCTGAATAGCACCAACATAAAATAAGCTGAATGTCAGAAAAATTAGGAAAGATAATAGTACAAATTCATGAATTTATAGTCTCTACTGAAGGCCGGTCAGGGCAGTAGTAGGGGCTAGACTTGTTCTTTTTGAACACAGAGCACTGGTTTTTTAAGGGGAATTGCAATAGCCTCTGCTATTTGGAGCATGCGGTGCTTCGATGATTTTGGTAATTTGTTAGGCACCCGGTATATTATAGAGAAGGATTCTTCTACACTGGCTTTGTGACCGGTTTGCACCAGATGGTCTGATATCGAGCTGTTAATAGTTTTAACTACACTTTTACTTAGACATAGTGGGATATTTTCTCGAGCACGAAAGATCAAGTTCCTAGAACAATGGCCAATATAACTCGCTCCACAAGCGCAATTGAATTGATAGATACAATTTGAAGTGGCTAGTTTAGGTGCTTCATCTTTCAGTCGAGGTAGCACCATCGGTCGTGTAGAGAATAATACGTGTAGTTCGCCAGCATCAAAAGTTCTTAATTTTTTCTTCGTAATTATCTCGCTTGGTATATCGCCCATGAATTGTAGTCGTTTCTATAGAGGCTTCTTGTTTACAGATAGTGAGTAGTCCTTTTCCGCTTTCTTTATCATGTGTTTCTTGATAAATTTGTCGGGATAGCCATTTTCGATCAAAGTATAATATACCATGCTTAATTCATCTTTAATTACTTCTTCAGAGCATATAGCTTTAACTCTGTGGCTAAGGGTCTTGACTAAATTTCTTTTGTAATTGATAGGAACGATGCTGTGAAAGTGTGTATATTGTCCCGTCCAAGTGCTTTTTCTATGCAAATTTCTTTTTATGCTACCGTCTGGTTTTCTTGTAAGTAGGACATCCAGGAAGGCAATTCTGTCTTGAGATTCCTCTTCGCATATGAATTTCATAGCCGAATGTACTTCATTGAATTCAGTAATTATTGTACTCCTATCAGAACTATTATCACAAAGAATAAAGGTATCATCCATATATCGGCAATAAAATGAGAGCTTACTGATAAGGTTGTTCAGAGGTCCATTTTCTAGCTTACATAGAAAGAAATCAGCCAAAATGGGACCCAGTGGGGAGCACATCGCCATCCCGTCCACTTGCTTGTAAAATGTGCCGTCAAATTTGAAGTTTACATTCATGGTACATCTTAATATCAATTCTTTTAGGATTTCAATATGGATTCCAATGTTTATCGACTGCTTGTTCACTTGTTCACACATATAATTAACTGTTTCTATTAGAGGTACATTTGTGAATTTATCGAAAAGAGTATTCTTTGTTCAGCATCCATTCTTTTGAAAATTTTATAGTTTTGTTTAAATCATGGATTGTATATTATTACATGAAGAGGAAGAAGAATATTAATGAGATTTTATTATACTGCCTATGATGTATTTTAGAGAGATGCATTGTAAGGCTTATAATATCTGTTTGAGGTTAAAGTAACTATCTTAAAACTTTAAGGAAGCGTTTGTGGATTCATTTTGTCTGGTAGTAGTAGTAGTAGTAGTAGTAATAGTTTCATACATTTATTCCCCTTAATGAATTTGAATAAAGCATGAACAACAGTTTTTGCAGAATAAAATGGTACCATCTTTGTTTATTTCATTGGCTTCTCATCAGCTGCTTACAGGCCAAAGTCATTATTAAGTATATCTACAGAAACAATTTTGACATGCTTGCACAGAGCTCATTTTAAACAAAAATCAATCAATATATGCATACAATAATAATATATATATAAATAATAAACACTTTATCCCGAACAATGATGATCATACACTATGGAAACTTTCGGCATTACGTAATCAGATGAAAGAGAGGATGAAAATATCCAGTTACCGGGGAAAAGAAAGACTGATAACTGTTTCTTTCTGACCGCATAAATCACGTTTCAGACGCTTGATGGAGATTGCTTCGGCAAACTTAAGGGGAACTGAACTATTTTACCTATTGATAATTTTGAACGATCTTGCGACGTCCATCTCATGACCCGTGTCAAGGAGATGCCTGGCGATTTGTTACCTTGAGATATAGGCTTTGGTTCATGTTCAGAAAATCGGAGGTATACAATTCTTTCTGTTCTTCCAATGTAACTGCTCCTGCAGATACATGTAAATTTGTATATACAGTAGGGGTTAACGTGAGAAGAATATCTATTGATTTTTGATTGCAATAAAGAGCTAGTTTTTCGATAGATAGGAACCAGCTTAGCTGAAGGATAGGTTTTGGCTAGTGACGTCCTAAATCTTCTATTGACTATTACTGTAATATTTTCATCTTTAAAATCAGGTCGAATGTAGATGGGCTTTTTTCCACTGTGATTTGCTTGACATTTCAGCCTTCAGATCTTCCGTACTTGTTAATGAACCTTTGAGGTTAACCGTTGCTTTTCAACATCTTTTCGAGGAACATAAATTCTTCCTCTAATTTTTCTGTAGAGCATATTTTCTTGGCTCTTTAGTAGTACAGAGTCTTGACCAGTCCGCGTTTAAAGCTATTTGGACAAAAACTATTAAAATGTAGGTATCCTCGATTCCATTTAGGCTTACGGTAAATTGACTTCTGGAGACTACCATCTTCTAGGCGTTGCATTGCAAGTATGTTAAAATTGTTTCTGTAGAAATACTTAATAATGACTTTGGCCTGTAAGCAGCTGATGAGAAGCCAATGAAATAAATGATGGTACCATTTTATTCTATAGAAACTGTTGTTCTTGCTTTATTCAAGTAGTAGTATTATGGGAATCTATTGAATTTCATGAAATAAATGTTACATATAACTTTGGTATACTAATCTTTATGCGGTTATATTATTCATTGAATGAATTCTGTGCATCGGTGGTTGAGCAGTAGAATGGTCACCAACCACCCGCATGTACAGTGTTTGATTTCTAATTGACAAGCAATTTCACCCTGTGAAAATAATACCACTGCTACGGAAACTTCAGAGCTTGAGGGTTTTTGCTTCACTGGGAATATAAAGAATTTAAAAGGATTGTATGAACTCTTATAAAACAACTTATTGGATATTTTTATCCTATCTAATCAAAGTGCCCTGAGTCATCCTGGAGAAACAAAAAGATGCGATGGATACAAAACTCCGATTGGAACAAGCTCGATTTAGGAAGGACAAATCATGTGCGGATCAAGTTGCAGCTCTGTGCATCATCGTCGAACAGAGAGTTGAATGGCAATCAAATCTCTCTCTCTACTTCATTGACTTTGAAAAAGTCTCCGACAGCATTCACTGTGAAGTAATTCGGAAACTACTTCAACGCTATGGTGTGAAGTGTCCAAATCTTGATCAATCTCATTCAGCAACTATATGATAATGCCACGTATATCAGGTGATCCACAACGGGGAACTCAGCGAGGCATTTGAAGTGAATACAGGAGTATGACAAGCTGGCTGCCTACTATCACGGATGATAATCGTAATTGTGGTGGACCGACTTATGCGAAAGACTGTGGGGATTGAGAAGACAGGAATACATCGGATCGATACGAATACTCTAGAAGATCTAGACTTCGCGTAAGATTCATGTCTAATGTCATATGAATTTGAAGACTTACCGGCAAAAGCCAACAAATTGACAGAAGATAAAGGCAGCGAAGACTGGACTTCAATGGAATACAGAGAAGATGGAGATGATAAAGATAACCAACCAACAACAACCGGCACCAGTCACTATCAACGAAACAAATCTGAAAGACGTCATGTTCTTCCCTTATCTAAGAAGCATCGTTTCAACTACAGGCAAAATGGATCAGGTTTTCTAAACCGGAATCAGAAAGACAAGGTACACCATTAGCAACTTGAAATCAGTTTGGAAATCTTTCGCAATCAGTATATACAGAATAAAATTCCTATTTCCAACACCAGTTTTAAGTCAGTTCTACATGGGTTATAAATTTAGCGCGTTACAAAACGCATTTCCAACAGCCCACTGCAGAATTTCATCGATAGCTTGCTTCGCTAACTCCATACTGAAAATCAGATAGCCAGGAAGAATTAGCAGCGAAAAACTCTGAAGAACAAACCAACGAAGAACCTATTGCTCAACAAATATTTCCAAGAAAATGGAGATGAATCGAACACACGCTGGGGAGACCGTTGGATGATATCATGACCTAGGCCGTCGCTCGAGTGGAGCCTAAATGGGAAACGACGCATTGGGTATTAGTCTACGTCTCTACTGAGCTCAATACCGGATAATCGACGTTTCGGAATGCGTCGGTCAGGGGTCAAACCCCGGAGGGTTAGCATTCCACTACTGACCCAATGATATTCGACGGTGAAATATAAGGCTTCTACAAAGCATTATTCTTATTGACTACTTACCATGGGAATTTATCCCAAGGGAATGCCAAGTTATTTAAGCTTACATGAACTTTATTTTTATACAGTTTGTTAAAATTGACTTCATTCCAACCAACAGTGACAGCAGCAGATTTATTTGTATCATTATTCTCTAATAAACTTGGTATACTGTTAAAAGAATTTATCAACTACAATAGCAGTAGTGGTGACAGAGTACATCAACGAACATCTAACTACCAACTGCTTGGTTTCTTTTTCAAAAGCTAAAATGTTCCTTCTTTTTTTTAAACTCCGTCTCTATATGCAGAATGGTGCTTGCGTATTCTGTATTGAAGTACAAATGCCATACCATGAATGTGATGTGATTTACATTCACAGTTAACTAACTAACTGTATTGCGTAGTATTCTCTCTTAACCTTTTTAAAGAAGTGTATCTTTCATGCTTTATTTTTCATTCTCTTCTGTGTGTTTTACTTTCTTTTACTTCTGGTGGGGAGGGCCGGGGCGAAGAAGAGGCATGTTAATGTTCATATTGTCAGAAAAATAAATATCTTTTAGTTTGTATTTACAAAATTAATTGATTATCTTACTTTACTTACAGTGTGTTTAACAGATTTTGGTCAGAATGATGAATGCGTGTGTGATAGACGTTGAAGTGAATTTCACCTATATAAATATAATCCGCTACATAGCTTAACTTAAGTGTAGGCATGTGTGTGTGTGTGTTGATTACAAATCATTTTTGTAATGAATCTAACAATTCAAGTATAATATTTGGCATTGTCTTTTCATACTACTGAAAAGTACAAGTAGTTTAGTAAAAATAATCATACTATTCTATACGAAAATCCGTCGATGGTTCAATGGTTGAATCCTCGCCAACCATGCAGAAGGTTCAAGTTCTATTCTAAGCCGACACATTACTCCTCAACTCCCCTCCCCGCCAGAGTACTAGTTGATAGTAAAGTCGGAAAAGAGGGTTATTCAGAGAAACAGTTGGCAACCCCACCCAGTAGAAACAACACCGCTACGAAGAGTTCAGAAGGTTGAAGTCCTGTAGTCCACTCGGAACGCTGGGAATAAAAAAACACGATACGGAATTTCGTTTTCTATTTTCATGTTATATTGATTTTATTGATTTCAGTGGTAGAATCGATCAGGAATCTACATCATTAAGAGAACTACTAAAGAAACAAGAGATCGTTTTGTTTTTCATTCATTGCGAAATACAAAAACCTTTATTATAATGAATATCATGGACAGATGTTTGGTCCTACTTTGGCGCTTTTCATCAGTTCGCACTTACCAGTTTACTTGAGTTAGCCAACCAGTGTTTAGTGAATGTTTAGTCAATCTTCGTTTTCAATGGTTCACTCATTGATTTCTGTCAGCGATAAAATCAAGCTCAAAATTTCACTAGAGAGATTTACTGGTCAGCTATAAAAGGATTATTGATTCATGAATACCTCAAGTTGGTCATAGTTTTATTAAACAACAGCCTCATGAATAGATCACATTTTAGTTTTTTTAAAGAATTTAATTGGTGAATGGTGACTAGCAGTGGAATCCAGGATGCGCACTTCGTCCAATTTAGGACTCGTCATCTGGATGTGCCTGCATTTCCCAGTGAGTAACGGGAAAATCTAAAATTCAATTAAAGAATGTTAATTACTCTACAACTGATAATTAATCGTTTTTTCAGTGTTTTAGTATGTAGTCAGCGCTTCAGAGTACATTGTCACCTTGTCATTTGTCACAAATTGTAGAATTTTTAATGATTATTAGATGAAAATGTTCTATGGTTGATATGACTGTTCTTTATCCTCTTCCTTTTTTCTTGATACTTCTCAATTCAGGTACACAAAAATCAGCTTTATACAAATTGTATGCTGTTTCTAATCACAGTGGTAGTGTATATACTGGGCATTATACCGCATGTTGTTTAAATCCTTATACAGGCAATTGGTACTCCTACAATGATAGTCAGTAAGTTTTGTGGTTTACGATATGAGTTGTATTCTGCTATATTTTTTTTAGAAAAAATGCCTATACATGCGGAACTTCAAGTTATTTCAGTGATCAAGTAGATGCAGCTATATTCTAACCGTCAGTGTTCATATAGGTTGTCGCTACACGGCTATGTTTGGCAATCCATAGCTGTGTATAAAACATACACCAAGTAGTCACTTTCAAGTGATACTAATTTATGGCTTTCTTGACTAACTAATTCACCGCAGCTAGGACTGTATGCCTAACTTGTGCCTTGTTCAAGTGAGATTCCCATATTGAACGCAGCAAATGATATATAGGTAGCGGTGGTCAGATACTTGCCATAGTTGACAAAAATGTAATGAGTAACTGTCCACTTTTCATAATGTCAACCTTTAGAAATGGTTCTATGTAACCTAAATTAAAAAGATTGAAAGACAAGCTTCCTGAGAAGTTATTCAGGTCAAAACAAAGTGTGCATAGTTGTTTATTCTCTTGATTTATTCCATTATGCGTTAGTTAAGTAATATCTGATGCATCGAATTGTGCAGTAACTGTAAATAGTCAATCAGAAAAATGAAAATTAGAATCTTCACGATTCCACATCACTCATGGAACTATTGTGAGCTTGAGACGATTAAATGGCTTAGAAATCATCATGATTGTGCTCCTCGTATCATCTGACAAAAAGGATGTGGAGGAGAGTAGTCAACTAGTCACAAACTGTCATATGCAATTAGCCAACTTCAAGAAAATCAAAAAAGTCAGGACAATTTGCTTAGTGCTATATACTACTGATCGACTGATATTGAGTAGTTGGATACCACTCACATAAACCAGGTGTGTTTGCTAGGCAGACTGAAGTGGCCTAAACACCAGACAGCAGTTTTGCTCATCAGCAGGATGTCGTGTCTGTCTGAGTTCATAAGCCTGACTCACTTCAGACCACCTAAATTCTAAAATGAACTGTTGTAATAGATAGGACAAAATTGCCTATTTGCAAACACATTGATTTATTTTACACATTTCGAGGTGAAATTTTTACTACAGTTTCTCTTTGGAAACCGAAATGACTCAGATCATAATATTTGATCATGCTCCTGTCGACGCCAAGTAAAATCCTGAGTCGCATCATCCCGAAGAGAATAAAAGACGCACTGGATACAAAACTCCGACCAGAACAAGCTAGATTCAGGAAAGGCAAATCATGTTCTGACCAAATTGCAACTCTACGCATCATCATCGAACAAAGCATGGAATGGCAATCAAACCTCTACCTCAACTTTATAGACTTTGAGAGGGCCTTCGACAGCGTTGACCGCGAAGTAGTTTGGAAACTACTCGAGTACTACGGCGTACCCCAAATATTCATCAAGCTTATTCAACAGCTGTATGACAACGGTACATGTCAAGTGATCCACAACGGAAAACTCAGCGAGGCGTTTGGAGTAAACACAGGAGTCAGACAAGGGTGCTTATTATCACCAATGATATTCTTATTGTGGTGGACTGTATTATGCGTTAGACAGTGGGAAACGAGAAGACAGGGATATCCTGGACCGACGTGAAGAACATAGAAGACCTGGATTTCGCGCGTGGATGATTTATGTCTCATGTCACACAAAATCGAAGACTTACAAGCAAAAACCGACAAACTGGTCGAAGAAGCAGCTGGTGAAGACAGGACTGCAAGTGAACATAGAGAAGACGGAGGTTATGAAAATAACCAACCAACCAACAACACCAACAGCAGCAGCAACATCCAGCGCCAATCACCATCAACGGGAGGGATTTGAAAGAGGTCACTTCTTTCACTTATCTAGGGAGCATTGTCTCAACTGCAGGAAGAACGGACGAGGATGTCAAATCGAGAATCGGGAAGGCGAGAAACACATTCATCAACCTGAAACCAATCTGGAAATCTTCGTCACTCAGCTTGCATCAACAACAAAATTCGGATTATCAATACAAACGTCAAGTCAGTTCAGAAACTTGGCGGGTCATAAAGAATATTTCCAACAGCCTGTTGCAGACCTTTATCAACAACTGTCTTCGCTCTATACTCAAAATCAGATGGCCGGAAAGAATCACCAACAAGGAAGTATGGGAACAAACAAAACAAGAACCAATCGCCCAACAAATATGCAGGAGGAAGTGGAGATGGATTGGACACTCGCTGAGGAGGCCGTTGGGTGACATCGCGCGTCAGGCCAGTGTTCGAGTGGAACGCGAAAGGGAAGCGGCGAGTGGGACGTCCAAGGGTGACATGGAGGAGATCGTGTGAAGAAGAGTTGAAACAGTATGGACTAACCTGGATGCAGGTGAAAAGTACAGCAGAAGACAGAAGGAAGTGGAGACGTGTAGTTGAAGCCCTATGTTCCACTAGGAACCCAAGGGAACAATAATAATATAAATAATAATATGTGATACCATGAATAGTAATCAAGACAGCAAGCATAGATGCATAATGCCAGTAGGCTACTGATTGTTTGATATGGATAATTGACTGTCACTGACACGAGCCAGTAGTACTTGATAACCAGATCGAAGTTACAACTTACTACACACTAGTGACTAACTATAAGTTGGTTTTCTGCAGTTTTAGTGAAAATTTGTAGGTTTTTTTATGTTGTCCTTCAGTTTGAGTATACGGATAGGTAATCACTGTTGACATCAATTAGAGTTGGCACTGTATTGCAAATTGATTGGAATGAAAGACACAAACCGTCAGGTATCTAAATGTCAGCGTGATCTCTCAGTAATCTGACATTCATAGACTATACCTCCTCATGATTTCTTTCTTTCACATCTTTGAGGAATTCAGAATTTGGGTAAAGCAGCTCCACATTATTCTTCTACTGATTTCATCTCCTCATCAATCAAAGTTCACGAACTGAACGTCTTGACATCTTAACACAGTCAATTAATATTCAAGTATTGCGTTTCGGGATTTGAATGATTGGTTACAGCATTTCATCATCAGCTGACATCAGTTAGAGAACCATTGGAAAACCTGGGAGTACTGGACAGCCAGCTGTTCCATCATAGTTTGGAACTGTTCAGCAGTACTCACCCACCACCATGGTTCGAACCCAGGATCTTCTAGTTACAAGGTCAGCGTGCTCGTAGACCAATAAGCCACTGAGACCAAATTTAATGGCCAGTTCATGAATTCCAACTTCTTCCAATTCACGAGATGCTCACTGACGACTGGCCCTATTCAGGTAGGTAGTTACCTGAGGTTCTAGTAGGAAGTCATGAACACTAGGGTACAGTAGGTCAGGTGTGAAGACAAATATTCGCAGAACACATTGGCTAATGCTCGCGCTATATCGTGAATCGGCAGAAGTTGGAATTCATCGGCTGGTCATTGGATTGGATCCCAGTGGGTTAATGGTCTATAAGCTCGCTCGCCTTGTATTCAGAAGGTCCTGCATTCGAACCCCACAATGTGGGTGCGCACCACTGTAGAGTCCCAAACTAGGACGAAACAGCTGGCTGTCCAGTACTCCTAGGTGGTTTTCCGATGGTTCTGTAACCGATGTCAGCTGATGATGAAATCTTGTAACCAAACAGTCAGTTAAGTGATTCGGCTACGTAATCCAAAAGTAGTTTGCATACATTTTAATATTTCCTTATCTTAGGGGGTTACAACTCTGATCAGAATAATGAGACCTCGTGTAAGCTAGCTATTGCCCCATCATCTGCTTCTTTGATACTGAAATTATATTTCACTAGTCAAATTTATCACTTTTATTATATTTAAATATAAATTTCAAATATATTATTAATAATTTGTCTTCATGACAATTTTTTTTATTATTTTTACAGTGTACATGCTATCTCAGAAAATTCAGTTGTCTCGGCTGAAGGCTATGTACTTTTCTACACACTTGTTCGATAATATACACATATATATATCCAACTTCTCTTATTATTACTATTAATTATTCTACTACATATTGTTAATATTATTCTTAAAATTTATTTTACATTGTAATTTTTTCAATTGAAACCTCTTTGCACTCTTTGCTGTGTCCAGTCCACCTCTTGCTTCACTTATCAATCAAATGGTGTTGTGTACACATGTGATAACGGTACTTTTATATATACATATATGATATACGCATATACACAGTATATATATATATATATATATATATATATATGAACATTTGTAATTCATATTCACCTCAGTATTTTTACACGCGCAAGACAAAAATACCCTTTGATTACATGATATTATGCGTCATGGAAGAATAGAACTTCTACAAAAATGATAAATATAATATCCCTGGGCTTTCATCTGAAAGAAAAGAGCATATATTTTCGGGTTGAAGAGAGAGAGGTCAAAGTAACACACATAATCGTAAAAGGATAATATGATGATATTTTTTGTTGTACTTGAGTACTTGAATTATTCTCAAATACTATTTGAATATTTATATATACATGCACAGACGCACACACTTGTTTCCACATATCTTTTTTGCACACACACACACGCAACACAACACAGGAAGCTCATAGTTGACGACAGTTCATGGAAGTATTCAATAAATACTTTATTTATTTATTTATTATTAAAATAACTTTAAGCTTGAGAGATGCAGCAAAGGATATAAGATGTTTGAAATGAATGCCTAATCCTTTACTTACCTTTGGTGTGGTGTGCATACATTTTTTTCTTTCTTTTAAAAATTTATTTCCTATTTATGTATATTATATCTGTACAATTCCTAGTGTATTGGTGGTTGGTATTTAATTTTGAGGGGATCCCCCCACCGCATAGATTTGTGTGTTGTGAGCGTTTGTGTATAGTATAGCACATCATTCATTCTGAATATTTTATTTCTCTCTTATTCTGTTTAACTCTTCCCCCTCACCAAAAATAACAAACAAACAAACAAAATTCTTGTGTGTGTGTGTGTATTTGTGTGTTAATTTAGTTGTACACTCTCTCCTGCCTAATTTGTTTTCCAATTCCTTTAATGTGTAGATTGATTATTATTTATTTAATATTTAAATTGTGTTTTTTTTGAGTTACTTAAAATGACATGGCTGTGATACCTGCTTCTTCTTCCTTCTCTCTACTGTGTCTACTCCACTTTACTCTACACTACTCCACTCTACTCGCCCCTCTACTACTTTTATTTTCCCTGATGTATTTGTAATAATGACAACAAAAAAGAAGAAATAATTAAAACAATAGAATTTACAATGAAATACATTTTGTATTTTGCTCAAAACTGGTAAACAGCAGTTAGTATTATTATTATTATTATTGTATTCAATTCATCACATCTATCCTTGTTATCGATCGATCTACCTGTCTACCTGTTTGTCAGCTTATTTATTTTCAATGAATCCAAGGTGGATTTTTTTATCGACTGATTATTAATAGACATGACTGTCAATGCTTGTGAAAAACACCTTTTCTATCCTTTTTTTTATTTTCTCCTCATCGCTCTCTCCCTCTCTAGCTCTTACCTTCTATTTAATTCTATTCAAAATTAACTTAAAAAGTACTGTGAACACCTTCCCTTTCTGTCTATATTATCTTGAAGTATTTATATATATATATATATATATACGTATATATTTACCCCTCTATACATAAACTATTATATTTCTGCGTAGTCATTAGTAGTGTAAATTGTCAATTTTAAAGCCTTGAGTTTTTTGTTGTTGTTTTGCCTAAGAAAGATAAAGAAAAATTTACATAAAAGGGGAATTTCCCCTCCCCCCCCCCTCATACAATGTATTCTGCAAACACGTACACACCCACGCACGCGCGCACGCACGCATACACCACCGTCTTACCTGTTACACATCATCTACACACATTTATTTTGAATTAAACATTTTACTGCATAGTTGATTGTTTGATTCAATAGAAAAATAGAAAAGAAATTTCTTTCCTCAAGGAAGTGGGGCGCGGATGACGGGAGGGAGGGGCTGGGTGACGCGGAATTATAAATTAATTTCTGCATATTCAGTTGGATAGAAACTATGCAGTAAAGAAAAAGTGTGTATATATCTATCTATCTATATGTGTATGTATGTATGTATTTTTAATATCAAAACTGTGGCTAATATTGTTTACACAATGTATGACGCTATGATGTAACAAACAAACAAACTGTGAAGAGATTTAACACTTTTAATGTAGATTTATTTTTTCGTAGATATTTACTCTTTATTTATTTTAATTTCTAAAAGAAAAGTCACATTTTAAACAACTGCAACAACACCAAAAAGAGAAGTTGGTAAAATTTTGAATTCAAAGAATCCGTAATATGTGTGTCTATGCGTTAAAGCTGTCTTCCATTTGAGGTGTACACTGTAAAAAATGTTGTCTAGAAAGTACAATGAAAGGCTTGCAAGTAGACCATTTTTACAACTCAGAGAACACAATTACAACACAATATCATCTATCTGAGCTAACGAATCTTCTTCACCATGTCTGTTTGTGTTATGATGCTGGATCCTTTGTCACGCAGTCACTGCTTAACTACTGACCAGTGCCCACTTAACTGGTAAAGCAGAACACGCGAGAATCAACGGTAAAACCAGGTTCATTTATTATGACAAAAGTGACTGTATTTACACAGAAAATCAGGTAAACTGGAAACCAACCAATCCGGTTGAGAGTTGGAATTGTGCAAGCGTCCAATCAGAAGCAGGAACAATTGTATGTCAACGACTTGTTAATAACGCGATAATAACTTGACTTAGACATGATAATGACCTGATAATTGCATGTGTTTTACCTCTTCCTAACAGTTTGAATATACTATGGAATAATGATGTAAGTAGCTGAGAACCATTGAAATGAAGCCTATAAGCGAGCGCTGGATTGTCGGCCCTAATACGAATTTATCTAAATATTCAATACCCGTCATATTTATTTGGATCAAGCTCATCAGCAGTAGTATACCTGGAGTGATTTCATCCAGAGAGCAGATAAAGTTAAGAAGAATTCAATTTTTTACTAGATACTTATGATAATTTTTACGAGTTGATCACGGACTGATATCAGTTAGAGAACCCTTGAAAACTAGGGAGTCCTGGGTAACTGTTTCATCCTAATTTTGGAATCATTGACAGTGCGCACCCACCAACAGAGTTCGAACCCAGGACCTTCGGGTTACAAGGCTAGTGAGCTCGTATACCATTCAGCCACTAGGACCCGATTCAATGGCCAGCTCATGATTTCTAACTTCTACAGGACGGAGTTTCCTGCAGTTCTAGTGAGAAGCCGTGACCAGTGAGGTTCATCCAGTCAAGTGTGAGGATGGATTTCCCACCGATGACATTGGTTGGTGGTCGCTATAAATCACGAATTAGTAGAAGTTAGAATTTATGAGCTGGCCATTGAATCGGATCCCATTGGCTAAATGGTATACGAACTCGTTAGCCTTGTAACCCGAACGTCCTGGGTTCAAACCCCCTGTGGTGGGTACTGCCGATGATTCTCAAACTGGGCTGACGAAACAGCTGGCTGTCCAGTACTCCTTACTGGTTTTCAGTGGTTCTCTGACTGATATCAATCCGTGATCAACTCGTAAAAACAAAACGAATCCTTACAAACCAACTATAGGGAACTTATGATAATGGCAGAGGATAAAAGAAGTGCTAGCGCAGAAGTTTTATACATTTTTACCCACATTATAAGTCAGCTTGGTTGGTCGGTGGACAATAAACTGTTCTGACTGGTTGGCGATTGGCCCACGGTTAAACGAAGGGATGGAAAGTTGTCCAATGAGATTATTTCCAGACTACAACGTAAACTAGATTCAGACTTGAGGTACAAACACTTCTACGTCTGCAGCTATTGAATTAATCTGCATCTCATAAATCTTGTTTGTAGCACTGTCACTGGCGAACGAGTAATTCATAAAAAAATATTAATTATCTGTGACTGACTGAATGTAGAGGTTTACACACAAGTGGAACAGTTCAAGTTGTCACACACCATATAGCACACAAATTGTAGAGAATAAAATTCATTAGAACTATAATGAACAGGAATACAAGACAGAAAGAATAGGTATATCGAGAATAATGAGAATTCAGTGATTCTATGCGTCCATGGGGAGGGGGCTGAGTACATCCATTGGTTATTAGCGTCTCTATGACCCTAGTCAGGCACTACACTACTTCTTACTTGGCTTAAACCATTCATCAAAGAATTCATAGATTAATGTTATGCTTTCGTTTGACTACTCATAACTCTTTTCCAACCTAATCTTAACGTAGCTGAACGGAGAAGGTGATGGTTTGACATGCGTAACACATATCCTAGCCGTCGATTTTGATGTATCCTAACAAACTTATCGACTGACTTCCCCTTATTACCTAACAATCTTTATTTCATCATATTATATCATTTAAGACGGAAGATAGAATGTACTTCGAAATAGGGACTCCCTTTTTTTAATTCATATCATGGTGTGAGGTTTACTCCTCCTCTTAATAAATGATACCAAGATGGTAAGCATAAATAACAGAAGTATCTCAGTCCAATATATAAGAAGTGATAAAATTCAATCCAGTCATTTGTTCATCTTTGAAGTTAATTCAAAAAAGACCGAAATTTTGACGACATAACTTGTCACTACTGTATAACGATCTTAGTAACAACATCTTGCACCAAAAAACCAAGTAGAAATCACTAGTAAGAAGGAGAAAGGGAGAAATATGAGTAACGTTATCGAATTCAGAGAAAGACATTTAGATGAGGCAGAAAGTGAATGATTAACAATTGTTGATTTTAATTGAGATAAGCGTGTAGTATGAACGTGTATAATCAGATGTGATCTTTTTCTGATGACATCTTTAGATAGATTAGACCTCAGAGAATCAGCATACATGCTAAAACTGAATCATGTCCTTATCTTTACCAGCAATTTGGTTAGTGACTACTTGAGCACTTTGTAGTACTTGATTTGGCTAATCTGTTGATGTGGTGAACACTTGAAATTTATTGTTAGTATAACTTATTTTGTGCGAATTGTGAGCTGTGTAGCTTATTCAGTTAAGCAGTAGTAAAACAAGATAGCAATGTTCAAAAATTAGTCTGTAGGGATTTGACTGGTCCCAGGCTTGATCATGGATCGATATTCAGTTAGACAATCATTGTAAACTATGCAGGAGTG